AGGGGGGGGGGGGGGGGGAAATCTCTGCGTCAGGTTAGAGACATAATCCAAGAGAGGGAACTCAGAAGTTCAGTACATCAGGTGCTACAATAGCTATAGGGCTTTAGCATACAAAGCATTTCATATGTAAACAATTTGTTGAATCACTGCAAGCTTGAATACAAGCCCATAAACCTACCACAGAGCCAGTCAGATTACATCACTAAAGGCGAACAAAGTTGTTCTACACAACCTGAGTGGAGATACCTCTTATGAAGGTAGCATTCAACTGTTTGCTAAGTGATCTGTAGGACAATTCAGCAATCTTCACTATTAAAAATGTTCTGCCCAGGCTAGCTATATTATCAGGAAGTTGAACAAAGCATCTTTGGGGTTGCTTTTCCTATTCTTATCTTTTCCATAGCAAGATGAGTCAAGAACATCTTCACAGCTCATTCTGGCCAAGTGTGTAGTAAAATAGTGCCAGTACAGGTAGTTTCAGAGCTTAGATGCTTCAAACATGCTATGACATGATTTGCAAGTATTGCTCAGCATTCATTGGCTCAGAAGCTCAGTCCCTGCAGAGCAAGTGTAGAGCTAAAAGAGCACTCTCACACGTGGGGATCAGAAAGGAAGAAAGAGGTCTCAAATCACTGCCTCTTCCTGAACTCAGCAAGCTTCCGGATAACCTTCAGACACAGGAAGAGATGCAGTTGAGATGCAAACAATTCAAGCCTTGTCCAAGAGCCTGAACAGCAGCAAACCGCCACTCCGCACTATCTGCTCTTTTTACTGTCGGTTAAATTCCTGAATACAATGGATGTGGATCAATAGCTCAGTACCTGGTAATCACGTAAGCTTTGCCTGCGACAAAAGAAAATTCCATTTTGATTGTGCATAGCTTTTCTGCTTTAGTACTAAACTGACATGTATTTAATACTGGATATGCACCTGTGCTACTAGTAGGAAAGACAAGGTGATAAAAAAAAGAACTCGGACCATGGTACAGACCAGTGGAAAGAAGTTTGAGATTTAAAAACTGGAAAGGGTGAATTAAATAGTCTGCCATTTAAAAAGATGATTTGAAGCCAACAGTTTTTCAAATTCATTTTCAAGTGTGTACAGTAAATACAAAGTCCTTGCCCCCCCATGTAAAGCTTTAAGAAAAGTCCACATTTTGATACATATGACATTCTAGTTTTTGTGAGAGAACCAAGAACTTACTGAAAAGTTGTTCGGGCTTATTCAATAATTTCTTGAGTAAACATTGCAGAGCTACCACTATAATCAGAATACCTAAGCTGCTGGCACGACTCAATAACTAACCATTTAACAAGTTGGGTATAAAAAAAAAAATTTATGTAGTAATACCAATTCAGCACACAAAATCCATGCTTCACAAGTTCTGCTGCTGTGTAAGAGTCTTCCTAACATCTATGCAGATAAGTTCAGATTTTTAGGTCACTGCATGCCCAGATCAAAACGGCAGCAAAATATCTACCACTATGAGCAGCTATACCCAATTGTGCCTTTAGAATGCAAACTATGCAGAAATCTAGATGATCAGGGCCTCACCACCGAAATAGGACCACACACACGAACTTCAGTGTGTGCACACTGTAGAGAATAAAGTTACCTATTGCAAAAGAAAAATGCATACAGATTCTGATACAGACATGATACAATCAAGACAGATTAAGTCACTAGACATTCAGGTCAGGGAGACGAGAAAAATCCTTCAAAGAGTGTACAGATGACAAGCCAGCATTACAAAGAACTCTAAAGGCACATTTCAGGTAACATGGTTCTGTTAAGACCAACTGCTTACACACGCAGGCACAAATCTTAATGGTTACCTCCCCCCCACCCTCCCCAACAATTAACGAAAAAAAAAAAAAAAGAGAAGTGCATTTTCAGTAATATTAACACCGTTCTGTTAATCTGTTCAGTCCAAATGTTTAGCAGTATTTTCCTTATGGTGATACGGATTCTCTGCACTACTCCAATCCAAAAAACCCAAACAGGCAGGATTAGTAAAGGTTCAACTGTTGTACTAGTTAACATTTACTCATCAGAGCCCACTGATCTCTTCTGTGCCCTCTTGTAGGGCAACCTCCTTGGTGAAGCTTTATCTAGATTAAAAAAAAAGAAAAAAAGATAGTTGCATCAATTGCTACACCTACTTCAGATTAGATGTTATATGACCATGTATTTTTCTCCCTCCCAAACACAAGCCAAAACTGCCCTTTAGTGCAATGCATCACCACAGAGAAGCCAGTTCAAAGAACTTGGTAAGGGTTTTTAACTATTAGCATCCTAAATAGAAGGTAACAAAAAAAAGAATGTTCCTATTCTGTTACATGCAACTCCAGGGTGAGGGCTGTTCTAATTGCCAGTTACTAAAATGGAAAAAAAAAAAAACCCCACACCAAAAAAACCAAACCCAAAACAAACCAACCAACCAAAAACCCAAACCCCATACCATCTCCTGATGAAACTGCATGCTCTGTTGTTTAGAAGAGTTTCATGTTCAATAATTACATTTTTAGAAAGTTAATGAATTATTTTGATCATTACTGATTTGAGTTTTCTTCACTTGCCTGAAGAATATGTGATTGACCCTCCTTTAGACAGCTTTGTCTTGCAGGAAATACTTCCACATTCATACAGATTAACAGCAGAAGATAAAGTGTTTTGGTTGTGAAAAACCACACTTTTCCAGGAAGCATCCACATTTGACTATGAAGATGTCACTTTGTAATCAGATATCCCATATGGGGAAGCCACCCAGCTTTAGCTGTATGATCACTGGATGCCAGAAGCATCATCTTACGTTTAAGACTTTATGACAGGCCTGTAATTGTCTTTTACAATGATGGTCCTTACGGAGGTAGAATTTCAATCCTTGTAATATTGTAGAGAAGCTACAATACTTTGTATGAAGTGCTGAAGTGATTGCTAAGTGTATCTGTTGACTTAAGAATGCACGCTTTCTTTAACAGAATCATCTCCAATAATTTCACTGTTTAAGAGTATGTGCAAACACAAGGAGCAGCCATCATGCCATCACAAGCCAATCAGTACAGTAAGAAGTGTCTTTTGACAATAAAATAGTCAAGAACCTCTAAGGATCTTGAAGGCTGTGTGTTTCAAAGGACTCTAGTGTACAGTTCTAATTAAAACTAATGTGGATCTAAAAAAAAAAAAAAATCAAGAACAACTTGAACATCATTTTTTTCTAGATTTCAGGTATTAGGATATGAATATCTATTTAGCTTAAGAAAGGGATGGAGGACAGGACCCAAACATTGCCAGGATTTGAACCCATTTAAAGACAGCTTGCTCTTTGGAAAAAAATTAGCATTTAGAACTTCAGTCTTTGTTAGATTGATAGTATAAAATCTAGACACAGGGATTTGAAAAGCCTCATTCTTGTATCTCACAGAAGACTGTACAAGAAAGCTTACATTCTCAGAAGTAAAACACCAATCCTTAGGTATAAGTACAGTTAAAAAGGATGAAGGAATCAAAAAAAGTGAAGTCAACTCCCAGCACAACTTCACATCAGAGCTAAGGCTTCTAGCCCTTCTACTGAATAAAGCTCAGAATGTGCTTATTTCATCAAAACAGGAGTCTTTTTCAAGTAAAGGTAGTTCCTGCAAAAGGTTTTCAAAGCACTTCTCTTGTCTAGGATGCACTTTGTTTTAAGTGAGGCTATCTCGCCTCATGCCAGCCAGCACTACTGGTGATAGGAGTTCACCTGGGATAAGGAAGACCCAGGAAGATAAACATGACCATTAAACTATTACACCTAAGGCTGAGGCTTGTTTCTCACCGAAACAAGATGCACTCAGCCACTGGTCATGATCAGTCCTCCACCCTCCTTGTGTAACATCAGCTTGACACTACACCAAGGTAGCAGGGAAGGCAAGATCTACATCTGCATTTTAGATAAAGGGTTCCAGGAACTGTTAGAAGAGACAACAGTACTTCAGCAATATTCTGCTGAAACTACGTTACTACAATATAACCAGAAATAATACATATACACATATTTATAATACACAAACCCATAAATTTATATGTATATAAAATGTGTTTGTGCGCATCTGCTCTGTCATCTTTTACCGCTCATGCTACATCACCAATCACTGCATGCAGGAAGCTATACTTCTATCCATGCCTAATTATCACATGGACAACACATTAAGCACTTCCACTCTTTAGATGACCAGAGTTTGCCTCACCTCTTCTACTCTGCACTGAAGCCACGGGAAAGCAAAACAGAAGAAACAGCAAGAGAAGTTAGAAATATCCACAAACACATAAACGGTCTAAAGAAGTCAGATACTGGGTTTACTGTTGGCATTTCAGATATCAAGTAGAACACTCATTTTGGACTTGTGAAGGTCATTAATACCAAGTCTTAATGTGGCTTTAGTTAATACACTCTTCTAATGCTTATTTAAAACTTTGGTCTATAGCCAAACTTCCAGACAACTTACAGAAACTTTGATATGATAGATATTTTCTCCTATTTAAACCTCCTTTGTCATCCAGGTTTTGGGTAGAGATTTTATACTGTTGAAAAAGAGTCTACAGAAGAAATTGTAAACGTCACTGATAGTCATTATTCTATCAATCAGTGAAGTTTGTTCTATACAAGAACAGGCTGCTAATATAATAGTCTAATCACGCGCGGTGCGTTTCCCTAGAAGAGATGTATGCTATTCTGAGAAATTGGTATCAGCTACTTATTCAGTTACAACTAATTGATTAAGTAAGTTTGTTACACTCTAGTTGGCGGGAGGGAGACCACTTACTTATTTGATTTAAAGTTTCCTGGGGAATCCAGCTCATATCAACATCATTCTGATTTGATGTTCCCATCTCTACTTTCTGTACTGGTCTTTTCCTCTGAAAATTCAAGAAAGAAAAAAAGATCTTTTTCTTAGCACAAACTTTTGATAGCACAAGTATTAGAAATAACTAATAATGCTATATTTAATCAATTGCAATTATTTCACTAAGACACAAACTTAAGGCTAGTCAATGTACGAATCTGTCCTTGTAGCTTAGCTTTAGCTATCTTTACTATTAGCAATTTATTCACCTAAGTTTGGCATTACCACTTCTAATGCCTCGCAATGCTTATTCCACACAAAGATATCAAGATTTCACGCGTGCCTGGGCAAATTCATTACGCCTGTTACGAAAAATGGCTGATGATGAATCAAACTTTGTGATGACTGGTTTCGTTATACTTTCTCAGATTAGCACAATGGTCTCCTACGTCACCTTGCAAAATGGATTTCGAAGCACACTAATCATTCCGTACTTCTTCCCAAGGGAAGCTACTTCAAAAGCGTCGTAAGCCAGACTGCACGAAGACATAACCTATGCATTGCACGCAGATGAGACTTAAGCTTCCAATGGCTTTTATTTGCCAGACCACTTACAGGGACAAACCTGTAGCTGTTAGAGCATTATAAATGGAATTCAGAAGGCCCTAATCAGTCCTTTGCCATAATGTCGATAAGAACTAAACAAAGAACTAGAGAGCTGCTTTCCCCAAAGTTTAACCTAGATTAAACTAACAGACAGAAATAGAGAGCACGGAGAAAGTCTACCCAGTCAGTATTGAATCAGTAGCTGCACACATCCAGTGACTGGAAGGTATCAAAGCTTCCACTTCAACCACTTCAGCATGGTGCCAAAGAGCAGACCCAAAGAGCATTAGGTAAGCAATCTAAGTGTCTCCAATTATGAACATTTTTAAAAAAAACTCTTTGGTGTTTTCCCAGTAATCTCTAAGGTCTTAGTTCTAGAAGTAAGTCTTCTAAAGTTCTACCTGTGCCATAGTATCCCAGAAGCAATTACTGAATTGCTTTCTTTTCAGATCAGTAAGGTCTTATATTAAGAAGTACATAGACAAAATACACTACCCACCTTCCTAGATTCTAACAACTGATGTAGGCCGACAATGACGAGTAGACCAAGTCCAGCAAGGAACATGTACATGAAGATCCTTTAAAAAAAGTTTAAGAAACCATTAACTAAAAATCTGAAGTGTTTAAGAGAGTTTACAAAGGCATAGAAACTAAGCCTAGCTTTGGCCACACGCCCGCTTGATCTTTCCCAAGAACTTTTGTAGGGGATGGGTGGGGAAAAACAGTTAATCTGAAACTGAAGTGCTAACAAATATTAAGTAATTATTCTGACTGATTTCAGAAACTGCAATCCAAAATTTAATTCTGAACAACAGAACATTTGAAAAATGCTATATTATCTGTGAAACTGTTATAAATAATTATTGAAATTTAGCAACCACAAGAACTCTTGCGGTATCATGTTTCAAGATGTTGGGTCACAGATAATATTTGTTTGTGACAGCTTTAACTACTTACAAAACCCTTAAAAACCTCCTATATCCTTTTAGTACACGACTGCAAAGCAAGCACTGCTAGGATACTAATTTACCAGCAACAGATTTTTGAATGGCCTTGCTTATCTTGCTCTGTGTTCCACAGTTAGAATTCAACCTATGCAAACAATCATCTTTTAAATGTGCATTTTGGTTTGTTTTGAAGAATTCTACCTGAAATACCTGTTGATACTTAGCAAGAGGTGAACATAAGTGATATCTAAAATTGATCTGGGGAGCAGGCAGGAGTTTACCAGTAAAGAATCTATTCCAAGTTGAACATCTTAACTCGGATTTCTGACAAAGGAAATTATGGAGTTAAACTACAGAGGAGACTTAATTGAACATCCCTGGTTTAGGGTAATTATCTATTCACAGGACATTAACTCAAACTGGTTCTAATAATCTGAATTCTTTTGAGAGGTCCTTTATCAGAGTATCACACACTTTCACATAACCAATTGTTCTTTCATTGATGCTGTTCTATTTGAGAAATATGAATTAATGCAACAGCTATTTCTTTTGGTTGACCTTTCCTAAAAGGAAGCTTGTCCAGCAGGCAATTACTATCTGTGGCAGGAGAATTCAAATATCTGGCATTGTCTACAAGTCTTTCTGAAGTTTTTTTTTTTTTTTTAAACTCACAGGTTCTCTTAAAAATCCCACTCCAGTGTTAGAATATTTAAAAGCATATCAGCACAGCATATGCTTGCAACATGTAAAGTGTGTCAGATGTACTTAGTCTTTAAGACAGGAAAAAAAACACTCCTGAAAGATACCTGCTACAGACAGGGGTTAGTGCAACAAGAAATGAGTGCAAGTTCCTTTATCTCACACTCCAAATACATCTTTCCATTTATGTAATCTTGGATTATACTGAAGTGCTCCAGAAGCAAGTTACTGCAGTCTTCACAGCAGGACCCACAGCCCAATACTATGGTACCTCTGCATCTTTAACTCTTAGGAAAAAGCACAGTAGCGTAACAAAAGCTTATCAGCTTTGAATTGCTACGTAGCTGTATAACATCAGGTCCTATTCCAGACTGAAGCCCTGTGAGCCAAAGCAATGTGTACACTGCTCATTGACATAGTACCAATTCTGAAGATCCCTAGTATTAAAACAGATCTTAATTTGGGGAGCAACTTCATATTTTCAGTCTATCAACGTTGTACAAGTCGAATGCCTGCTACACCATCAGCAAAACACAGCAGACCTAACATTCAGTAAAATGAGGATACAAGAACTATTCTCATTGGCACCATCAGCAACCTGTTCTACCAGTATACCAACTAAACTTGAATCTCCAGCCTCCTTACGTTTCTCCATCCAGCCCATCTTCTTTTTCAATAATCGTAACGGTTTGATTGAAGACAGCATCTTGAAACACATTGCCCTGTAACAAAGTTTCCACATAACATTTTAAATTCATTTCTTCAACACACACACAAATGTTTATCTTTTTCCGTGTTCTTGGAAAAGCTCTAGAAAGTAGTAACCCCTGCACGAGACTTGATTGAGCTTTTATGCGTTGAGTCAAACTTGGGCTGCTTATAAGTGCAAACTTTTTCGTGCAAGTACAAAGAACAATCTCGATATTAGCTAGACAGCCACATCGAGCCTTCCATATGTTACCTCCTATAACATGAGATGTTACATATGAAGGGTTCTTATTAGAATAATCAAAACACAAAGGTACAGAAGTCTGTTAAACTTTGACCGGCACTAAAAGAGAAGAATCCCCTATTTTAATCCCCATTTATGCTTTTGGATAGTCTTCCCCCAGATTGCAACTACTGGCCATTTATTTGCTCAAAGTCAAGTTTGCAGATGGGATTCAGGTTGATAGTTAAGTTTGTTAGAAAAGCCCAATCTGAAAAGCACAGTGAAATTTAAATTATCCTAAAGAAAGCTTAGTTTTTTGGTTGGTGGTTTTTGGGTCCCCCCCCCCCCAAATGAGTACAGCCCACTACTACACAGTTCTAACACATTCTAGCTTCCACTGCTGACATAACTTTAAGTCTAACATATAGAGAACTACGTGTACATGGCGGGCTGTTGCAAAACATGTAGACAGTTGCTTACTGGGCTTATCTATCTACCGATTTGCTGAAAAACCACAAAGGCATTCACTTTCTGAAGAGGCAGTAACTTGCCTAAGCAGTTCCTTCCTTACATTTCCACATGAGCTAGAAAGATTGAAATGAATTACATCAGGCTTACGTTTACATCTCTGTAGTTGAGATTGATAACTAGTCCGAACGGACGACCACCCATAGGCTCAGCAGGGATGAAAGAGTACTCAAATGTGGCTTGTCTCTGTGGTGGAACTACTGTATTCAGAGGGAGAGCTGTGAAGTTCTGGATATAAAACTGGTAGTCTTGAGGATACCGGAAAGAAGCATCGAGAGACTCGACAATGAAATCCTCTGTACCCTTGTTGGTGAAGCCCACCAGAAATTTTACAATGTTGTTCGCTGGAAAGTCTAAAACACAAAAAAAAAAAATATTCAACCATTAGAAACTTCATACACCACACCTAGCCTGTTTCTAAATGGAGAGCATCTAGAACAGATTCTGTTTTTTTAGAGCTTCACTGTTTTATGCACACATTGATATAGTCTAAGCAACAGTAAAGAAGATGGTAGATTAGCACGGGACTCTTACCTTCACCTTTCACAAATAAGATGGTTGTATCAGCACTAGGTGAGGCTTTAGGTTCTCCTGACAAGTCTTCTTCCTCTTTTTCTTCTGTCTAAGACAAGAGACTTTTTTGAAAAATCCTATAATGAACAGTGAAGCAAAGACCATGCTTGTTTCATGAGAATCCCACGTGTCAAAACTTGCAACAACGGCAAGCATTAGCATCAATT